GATGATGTGTGGGTATAATTTAGCGGACAATTATATAACCAATAGCTTTGAGTATATGCACAATACATTCTATTAACCCAAATGCGTTCATCAAATTAATTTAACGTGCAACAAAATGCATTTGTTAATTAAGCATAAAGTAATCTACTATATCCAATGAATTCAGAAAATTAATTAAATTAAATAAAACATATTTTCTGACTAAATCAATATAAAGTCAAATTTGTAGCGACTACAGAGTTTTTAACATAAATGTTACGCATAGTCTGGTTTCGATCCGGATTTATAGTGAAACCGGTTTGAAAATGTTAAAAAAAATATATTTTACTTGACAAAATAAAAGTACATTAAAAACAATTTATACATAAACTATTCTTCGAGGCATCGATAAGTTAGCTTATTGTCTTTAGCGATTGGTAAATAATTATACGCAAAATCAATCAAACAAATTGAAATTACATATGCGTCTGATACATATATGCCAAAACTGTTGACAGACCCATATGATTTCTGGATAGTAACAATCTTCAAAAATTTCATAATATTCTAGCAATTAGTTTACAGGTTACAGTGGATTTAATGACCCCAGTTTTGTAATTTTCTAAACAATGTATAAAAAAGAATTTCGTGTGTTGATGGAGATAAATACTGTTAAGCCAAACAGTGGTTTGATAAGCGAAACTGAGTGGTTTGATGAGCGAAATATTTTGAGAGCAAAGACAAATCGTTCACAAAAAAGGAATCGAAAAGTTAAAGCAGCGTTGGAATGCATATACCACTCTTGAAGGAAAGTATATTGATGAAAACAGTCGAATAAAAAAAATGTCTTCCTTGGTAAGACCGGAGAATTATTGAGTGTGTTATAAACACACGCAGCTGACTATTGTTTTTCTCTGCGATTTATTTTTATGGGGTTTTAATGTTCTCGATTTAACAAATTACCCGCACTAGATGAAGTATTAGTGTATAGTAATGTGATAAAATATATGTATTTCTTTTTTAATTTCGTAATTTTTTATGCTACAAAAACTGCAATTCTCTAATTATTTCTTTTATTTTGATGTTTACTAATTGATTAATTAATAAAATCCATTTCTGCAAGTCACATTATAAATAGAAATAATTCAATACAAAATAAGCATGAACTTACATTTAGTACATATATGTGTACTGCATAATTATAATTATTTTAACATATTACTCTTTTTTTCTTCTTCTCTGATTTGTTATTCTATACTTTATTTGTTTCTATATTGAATAGTATTTGTTTTTATATTTTGTCGATATAGTATGAAAAAAATATTTTTTTAAGTAAGAAAGTGAAGAGAAATGAAAAATCATGTACTAATAAATTATCGTGCAAGTCTCTATTGTGGTGAGATTGCTCGCTCGATGAATAATTGTTTTCCGAATTATTATATAATGACAATGGAGAATTTTCCCATGAAATGATTAATAATGTCGGCGGGCGGGCGGTGCATTAAACGGGAGGTGTTTAGATAATATGAGCATAGTTCGTCTAACACGATCTGCGTCATCTATCGCTCTAGGTTACCAATTAGTTGGACAAGGGATTTATGAGACACCGCAGGCATCTCAGACCAGTCAGCCAGTCAGGTCTTCCTTTTCCCTTGATCCATCGATGATCCTCGACCACACTATAAACATTGATCACCGTCCTATCCCATTATTTTCTGGCATACTGAAAATAAAGACATAACCTGCCGCACCACATCAATGTTCGAGATTGTTACAGGAAGATAATGGCATAATTACCTCGTAACTACCAAAGAAAATCGATGTTACTTCATATTGTATAAGAAGAGATGCACACAACAACAACAGCAACAAAAAAAGGCGTATGTATAACTACGTATATATATTTATAGAATAATGCTCTTGTTGAAATATAAATTACGTTTTTATTACACTGCCTCCATAAATTCATCTTTTTGATTACAACCTGAATTACAAGGTGTTAACTTCTTGCTTTCATCAGCGTCGAAACGTATTATTACCGATTCTTTTTTTTTATCGCCGTGTCTTCTTCATCAACTTTCCATTACGAACTCGTTAACTCATTATTAATTGAGATAGTGCTTTAAATTAAACGAGTCCCTTGTCATATTAAATATTTTATGTAACGTCCTTTTGTCTCCGAAACATAATGATAATGATTATTTAAATACAGTCTAACACATTTTACTTTATTTAATAATTAAAAACACATAAATATGACTATGAAATATCCCAATATAGATTTTTTTTTTATAATAAAGTCTAAACTGAGCATCTAACTCAAAATATATATAAATTCAGAGATATCATTAAGAAATAAAAAAAACATTTATAAAACTCTTTTTTTAATGTTAACTTACAAAACTTAAACAACATACGCATTTGGTTTGGTGATCGATTACCTAGATGTGCCTATTTCGGGCAAATAGAACGTTGTGAATGATTTGATACAGAAACACATTTTTAATAAACTGAGAAACTGCTTATTGAATTTCCACTTCATAGTAAAGCATCAAAGACATTTGCTATTATAACTTTTATAAGTAATTACTTACTCAACCTGTTGATTTTTGTGCTTTTTTTAATAATATGAAACTTCTACATTTTTACCATTTATTCATAAAAACTATAAGTAATTGTATGTTGTCTAGTCAAATGAATATTAATTAATAGAAAACATATTTTTCATCATAAAAATGATCAATTTGATTATTTCTCAGCTTTTTTTAAACAAGAACATTTTCCATATTCACAAAAAATAGACATTTATTCCTATTTCACAATCAAAGAAAAGTTACGAGTTTTTATTAAATAATTTATATGTAGTTTAGACTTATACGAATCACTTATTTCCAATTTGTAAAATATTTCAAGAAATTAACTATTCATTTTAATGATGTTAGTTTGTATTAATAATTAGTTTAAGTTTTACAATTCCAAAATTTTAATAAAAATAATTAATAGAATAAAATGAATCTTTGGTTGAATTTTTTTTTAATTTCATTTTAATTTTACTTTATCCACGCCTTGCTTTCTATGAAACATAAATCTTAGTCAGGCGTATAAATATACTATTTGTTGTCATGTTGTATAACGTTATGCTATCATGTAGTATGACATTTATGTGTCATAAAATGTAGATCCTGTATGGTTCACGAAAACATTTACCTCGTTTTGTGAGAAGTGTAGTGTTCTATTATTATATTATGGATATTATGCAAGCTACATATATTATTATATTGTATGTGTCAGAAGGACAAGTTTTAGCCGGTAAATACTTTTGACGTGTTCATTGTCTGTAACTAATTAAATGACTATATTAAATTTCTTCGTTCACTATGTAATTAGTTTAGAAGTAAATTGTTAATTACTCTTAATTAATAATAAATGTCATGCTGTTCTAAATTAATTTAAAGTAATAGATTTATTAAGGTAGAAAAGCTATTTTTGTTTTAATATTTTTAATATAATTTAACTTGATTTCATTGCGAGTGCGAATTAATGATTCATTCGCAACTTCTAAGCAAATTTCTATATAGTACAGATTTATAATCTTAAGTTTTAGGTTAGACATGTGTTTAATAGTAAATTTACTACATATCTACTGATATTACTCAGAATTACAAAGAAATTATATTTCTTCGAGTGAACGCATTCGGACGATAAAACGTGTCTAATATTAACTATATCATAATGTAATTTACATCTTGTATTGGTAGAAAAAATAACTTGTAATGTTGCAAATCTTTCCTCATCCTTTTTATAAATTACTTGTAATGTGTGGTTTCATATATGATACATTTTTGAATAGAGCTAATAAATGAAGTATAATAATTTATATCGATATAGATATAGATTTGTAATCTAACGATATAAATTAAATTATACTTATGTAATAGTAATTTTACGCTCTACAGTTACAATCTACCAAAAAATGGACATTAAGTAAATTATTTTTACTTTGTCGTTTTTTAATAAGAAATATCTGGTAATATTTAGTTTGATGTACATATTTTTATATACTTCCATAAATTAGTAATAATTCGTTGTACAAATACTAATGAATGAAGAATAATGATTTATATATTTTCTTTGCATTTTATAATTACATTTACGGACATTATATATTTTCGATCTATTGTTCTGAGATATTCATATTAATAACTTACTCGGTTTAGTTTACATTTTTAAATGATATTAAGAAAATTTTGAATTAACTACATTTGTTAAAAAAAATAAAACTATGTAACTATTTTTCTTTATAGATTTTTCTAATATAAAATAAGTGGTAGTGTGTAGTTTCGTTGTACATTTTTGTTGAGTGCGAATGAATGAAGAATAATAATTTATATCGTTTCTTCGCGTTTTCTTATTGAATTTCTGGACAGTATAGATTTACAATCTGACGTTGTAAGTTAGATGGTACGTGTGTAATAGAATGAAATATTGATTCGAAAAGGAAATGCCTTGTGTTATTCGTTTATAGGGTTGTAAGAAAATATATAGGTAAACGAGTTACAACCACTGACACATACATACTTGGGTAAAGCTCATGTCAAAAGTAAACAGCAACAATGCCCCGGGGACAGTAAACAAGATTGGACTGCTATATATTACACAGAACACAGAAAGCGGACGACGTCGGGAATCTGCAGAAAAGACGAACATTCTAAATTCCCTTTGATTTAATTCCATTGTGGCCCATTAAATTTCAAAATAAAATTACGTTCACTATCCATTTTTTTTATCACCAGAAGCTATTAAACATAAATAATCTTTAAAAAAAACAGAATATACACTGTTATTAGTGAATCGTAATAATGAAATCCTACCGTTTTTTTTATTAATTTCCTGAACGTGAAGCATGTGTTTGCACCAGCGTAATAATCATTCGAATACATAGATACATATTCCGCAAATAATGTAACGTAATTTATTCATTATTTATTTTGTGCCTTCATTTTGTTTTCATTCTGTTTCAGGTTTTTTCAGCAACAATCATGAATATTCAAAAGTATTGTGCGTGAGGTTAGTTGTGCATGAGCAGAGCCATGTATTCGCCTGCATAATTATGGTATCAAGAGGCATGGATCCGAACGTTTCATTACCTTTGTACTCGCTGTTTTTTGTTGTCGCTGAAATTATAATCCCCGCATATGGACTAGAACTTGGTGAGTACATACACATTATTTTTTCTCATCCGAATTACAATTAACTTTTGTTATCGATCGCAAATACAATAACACGTGATGATAATATTAAAACTGCGAATTTAAACAGTACTTTTTATTCTGGTATTGTATTTGTTTTTGTTTTCAAGTCCTCTGTTTTGTTTATTAAGGGAAGGAAATCATATTTCGTGTTTATAAATATACACGTCAAAAGGAAAACAGCAATTATAATGGAAGAGCGATGAAGACAACGCAAACAATCTATTTTTGGCTTAGATTATATTTTTCATCTGCGATTCTATATTTAGAATATGAGTGTTTTCCATTTCATCATTGCTGATGAAATCAATTCACTCAACTTCATAAAATTAGATTTTCATTAAATATAGCCAAACTCCCCATGTTTTAATATTATATTTTTTTTAATAATTAATTTTATGAAAAAAATTAAAAAAATATAAATAGAAAAAAAATAAAACAACTCTAAATAAAAGAAATAACAGAATGCTAATTTCTCGTCAAATTAATCAAATACATGTAAATTACAAAATTGCAAGTACAAAAAGGACAAAAGGTTAATTATCAATTACAAAAAATAACTTGTTATAATTATAATTATTATAAATTAATTTGAATAGGAATATTGTAGTAAGTTGTTCTTAGTAATCATTCAGAATAAACGTAATGTCGTGATATTACCGCATATTGCATGGTAAAAGGATTACATTATAATATAACAAATACAATTTAATAGCTAATTTCTTATTTTATTAATACGATTTATTTTTAAAACGATAGAAGTTATATTAGAAGAGTTCACAAAATTGCGCTGTAAATATTATCAAATCCTGAAATTGTATGTTAAATAAAAGTTTCAGTTTATAACAGGGAACATTTATATATACAATATACATAACCTTTAATTTTGATATTCGTCAAAGTCTTTTACTGAAAAGAAGAATTTATAAGTATTTACAATAAAAATTAAATTTCCTTCAATAACTGCTATAAAATGTTAACAAATTTGAATGTGTAATCATCGACAAAGCAAAGAACAAGTTAATATTAAAGTTTGAAAGATGTACGTATGCATTAACAACATTTATATTTTACCAACTATTAGAATATTTCAATTATTACATTTTTTAACTATATTTTTTACACGAAATTCATTTCATCCCTTATCTTATATATTATTGCAATGAAAATAATTGTAAATGAAATTAGTGCGCAGATAAATTGCATATAATAGCAGCGCATTCTATTTGTTCTATATTTGTTATGAAGAGTAAATAAAATTTGAAATATTTGATTATCGTTTTATAAAGAAAAATAATTTTCTTTCATCGGCCGATAGTCTTTGGCTAATTACGGCAAATACAAATGTATAAATTGGCTTAATGCGGCTACAATCTGTAAGGTTCGATATAGTCCGGTTTAAAAATTTGAACACAAACTAAATTTGAAATGAGCAAACTAAAAATAAATTCTAAAAATTTGTACACAAAATAATTTGAAATCGCACTAATCGAAGACTTCATCGAAATAAATTATCGCATAAAATAAACAGCACAAATGTAAAAAACATAATTTTGTGTATTTCTTTAGAATTTATTTTTCCTCACTTAAAATTTAGTTTATTTTTCAAACCCTATTATATAGAATCCGGGCTATGCAAAGTATTGCTGTATTTACTTTCTTAATTCGTCCGGTTTCAAATAGTCCGAGATATTGGTGGAATCGATTATCCGGACTATGCGAGGTATTGCTGCAATTTACTTATTACTCTAAAATATTATTCATTTAAATTTTAATATATATTTTTTTTGGAAAATTACAGTTTTAGCAAATGAATAAGAGTGAAATAAAGTTTACAATGATTTAAATTTGTTTCGCTTATACGATATGCTGTAGGAACGTTTCCCACAAATTAATAATGTAACATAAGCAAGGGGGAGAACAGTAAATTAGCGTGTACGGAAATTGTTGGATTTATCTGACCTTCGAGGCACGGAATAATATAATAACATTGCTGATCTGCAGTGAGATCTCGGCTGGGGGAGCTGGTCATTTGAACACACCCGGTCAAAATGAATTAATTGCAGACATGCACCTATACCTTCAACATTACTTACTGCTTGCTGCACCGTTAAGATATGGAAGGGTGGTCGGATGAAGGGGGACGGTTGAGGATGAGGAAGTGGTGGAGGAAGGAGGAGACGGCTGCGGAGGCGGCGGTTCGGTTCGGTTCCTCGATGGAATCATCTATGCGAGTGCGCGATGCGAAAATCGGTGCGGGTGCATTATTATAAAGTTGGATGTGGGGAAAACTGTACGTATTTCTGCACGATTTCATAAAGAGAAAACTTCATGAATTCGAACATTTTATATTTTCATCCTGCTGTCGCCTCAAACTGTTAACTTGTGAATTGCAGTATAGTGCCACAATCTCTTACAATATATTACAAATTTCAGCGCAGCATATCTGTACGAGAATATTCAATTTCATGCATTCTACCCACAGTCCCGTATATCTATATATATACATACATTCAGGGCATAGTCATACCATAATGTTCACGAATAAAATTTTATGTGGGTACCTATTTAACTAAATATGTGTATACTTAGCTGTGCCAATTTATCGTTTCCTAAAGTCTCGAATTGCACATACTTGTTGCTAATTAATGAGTATCGATTAATTAATTAGCATTATATCAGAAGTTTAACGCTCCAGTGGAACTATCATTCTCCATATCGATGTTCTGGAGATTTTGTTGGTATGTGTGATCGAGGGTGGAGATGAGGGTTCGTTCCCTACAGAATTGGTGATTTGTATACGCACTGCACAATATTAATTATAATCCTAGAATATATCTATATACGAGGACCTGATATACATTCTAGTAAATATTATGTAATCCGCGAACACGCCGATGATAATGCTAACTACTTCCCATGTAATTATTATCCTTTGACCTACATTACTAATTACACTGCGCCAAAATCTTATAAATAAGCAAAATCGATGTTTTTATTTCATAAGATTATTGATTATATATGTGTATACATTTCATAACTTAATACTGCATCAATAGTATTCGTGACTTTAGACATAAATGTAAAATATGAATTGCCTACTACAGAAAATCGATACAAATAAAAAATCATTAGTATTTGATGTACTTGATACATGTTTATATCTCATATCATGTAAAATGTGGAAGTATCTAACAATTTTTGTTTTCTGTCTATTATAACAACTTTAAATATTAATAATAATCTTTATTAGTCACAATTGTAACCAAAGAGCTATTAACCTAAGTCTTTCCGACCAGATACACAATAAAATATAAATTGTCACAAAAAAATCATATAACAAATTTAAACATTTTTTACATAATATGTAGATATATTTATTTATTAGATACAGGCCGTCAACTTTCCATTATATTGAATTATAATGAGACAAATGACCATAACAGTCGATCGCAGAAAGAAAAATAATTTGTTATACAATAAAATACATTTTTTCCTGTTTTGAAACAAACATTAATAATTTGCTCAACTTTGAAGAAGTTCTTTCTATCTTTGTTTTAATCATTAATAATACCTTGTATGTTATTAATTACTTAGGTAACCGTCTAATATCACTCGGTAATGTACTAATGAAAAGTTAGTTTTCAACTTTGTTTCAAAAATATTATTTCATAAAAGTTCCTGAAATGTACACTAATTTTCCATATAAATTTCATATTTCTCTACACATTTCAGCATTTAAATGAAAGTTTAATTTATTCTGGTTTGTTGCAACAATAAATTATAAAAAAAATTGCAATATGACAATAATAAAAATAAAATTCAACGATAGGTCTGTCTGCTCGTCTTTATATTTACAATGGGAAATGTCTGTGTTTGAAAATATTTCTATGCAAATATATTATAGCCATTTTTGTGTATTGAAAGTTTTTTATATACTTGTATGCTATTAAATTTTGTATGTTTGTATAATCGGATATTCTACAATATCTACTATACAGTTTTTGAGTTGTAGTTGTCAAAACAAGAGAAAACTATGAAATACCTTAATAATTGAAATATTATACTAATAAGTCTTTCGAATAATGATATGATGAAAAATTGAGTCTTTGTGTTAACTGTTGGAGGGGCGGCAGAAATTACCATTTAATTTGGTTGGTTTGTCAAGGGATGAATCTTGATAGGCAATAGCATCCTATGTTGATTCAGATGACGAAGTTGTTTGATTCAGTTATCTAGATATTCCTTGGGTCTAGAAATTTAGGAATGGCCATTCAAAGAGTTAAGTGGATAATATTTTTTTCGTTTCTAAGTTTATTATAGTTAGTTTTTTTGTTTAGTTTTTTAATTAGATTTAATATAGTCATATTTTTAACAAAATATAATTTAGAAACTTGTTGAATATAATTATAAACAGTGTTACTAAAAACGTACAAAATATTAAAAACGCACTATTTGTGGTATTTCTTTATGTCAATTCAAACTTTCATTACTATAGTTGGGTGACAGTTCACATTTATAAAATTTAAATTCTGTGATGTTGTTTTTATTTTCACATACAACGAAAAAAGTGGATGTTGTGTAAGTGGCTTTACGCGCCAAAGCGTTGTTAAATAAATAAATATGAATTTAAAACTAACTTTTTTATATTACAAAATATTTTACATTTTGTTTATTTTTCTAGAAAATATTTATACATTCATTTTATACAAATGCAGTATAGAGATCATTCAATTTACTTTAATAATTATTATATTGTAATATTCCAACATTTTGATATAACATTTAATGATTTGGTTTCGATAAAATGCAATAATAGTTGCATTATAATTATAATATAATAAATATGAATTATAATATTTAAATTTTGTACCAATTTTTATTAATCTTAGTTCTTATATATTTTGTAAATAATGTAGTTATTAGTAATTTTTGTTGACCCTAACTTGGGTCAAAGAGTT